GCATAGATGCTTATGCGTGAGAAGCGGCGCCCGTATTTATAAACTCGTTCTCTGTGTTCTCTTTTTTTAAATCACGCATTCTTTAATAATATCCGAGCACCCTGATCTACAGGCGCTTCAGAAGGATTATTTAGCATGGTGCGCAAAAATCGCTCTCGAATGATTCAAATACGTTCTTTGGTTTATGGCGATAAATTCTTTACTAAACGAGCATTCGCCAAAGGAATGTTCGCAAACGAGTGAAAGCACAGAATAACGATCGTTCGTTTCGTTTGGTGGTTGAAATTTTTTCTGACATTCGCTCACGAATGAAAACAAACACTCGCGAATGCTCAAAGCAGAAACAAAAATGACAACAAACGTTCATGATCTCAATAGTTGTTGGGCATTTGTTTTGTTATTCCACACATGCTCACCACTTGTTATGATATTTTGTTTGTTGTTGTTTTTAACAACGCTCGCGAGCATTCGCGAACATTTGTTTTTTGAATTTTTCAAAAGATTGCTCTCCAAATTCTCGCAAAAGAAAGAATCGCTGGCAGCAAAATTTTATCGTTCGTGAATTTTTCGTACAATGCGAACATTCGCGAGAGATTGGAATTACTTGTTCATTCATTGTAACTTTATGACTCGCGATTGAAAACACTCGAATTCTCGCCATGAGCATTCGTGAGAAATACTTTAATCATTCTCCGTACCCTGTTATTTAGTATTTTTGGCATTTTTAAACTGAAATGGCTATATATCCCTTACTTGATACCCAATAACTTTTTATTCCCTACATTAGAAGTAGAATGCATGGCCAACGAATTATTTCGCCAAAAATATGTTGTTGTGGCGTACCTACGGTAGATAGACATAGTTAGATAGCCTCTTGATGGTGTATAGAACACATAGGCATTGTTGCTGTTTCACTCCGATAAAGAATTATTTTAATGGCCACAATTCATTGCCCCCCAATTGATCATTTTGTCAGTCTGTTTAATCCTAGCACGAATAGATTCTAGGCTTCGTTATCCCCACAGTGGAAGACTTCCCTTACTTTCCTTGCCTTATTTCTAACTTAGGAATGGTTTTTTTCCACACCATCATTAGTTTGATTTCATCTCGTAATGATACATTTCTGCTACCAGTTCTTAATGACTTCGATGTTCTTTGGCGAATCATATTAAGTCATCAGATGTCAATATTGAAGTCGCAGCTTAATAGATAAATAAATATTTGTGAATTATCGGGACAGTGGCATTTGATAGAGGGATAGACCCTGCTTGCTCGTCTCACCAGATGACGTGAAGATCCATTATCTCAGGTGTAGAAGTCCTTTCTCTTTGGCACTTGTGAGGAAGTGAAAGGGAGGTCAACAAATTTCCACTGGTGTCCGTTTCTTGTCTTACGGTCAATTCTGTTTATATTTTGCCCCGCCCTGGGCGCCACTTAACGGCTTGTTTTTAGTCATGGACATCTTTTCTGCCTCTTCATACATCCCATATTTCCTCACGCTCCTGGAAAATTGTTTAAGTGGAGGGAAGGTGAAATTGTTCTGTCTGCAGTACCTTTCCGCTCTTCTTCTTCAGTCACCTTTTTGTCCATAATAGCTACCTCTTTTTAATTGTGAGCTTGACAATATTTATGTTCACTTCTTCTCTCATCCGGCATTCCCTGACGGTTATATACTGAAGAAAATATAAAAGTTGTTCGTTTCCAGTACGTTTATGCTTTTCGGGTTCATTTTGACGATTTTCGTAGTTGGGCCCCATATAGCTGCTTATTTTTATCACTTATATTCACTATAACATCTTCCACCATAAAATCTGCCTCTTCACTTATCAAATCTTCTAAGACGGTTGGGTTCTGGAAAATTGATTGAGTAGAGGTCAAGGATTCAGTTTCTGCTCTTCCACTTCATTTTGACCAATTTTCACATTTGGGCTATGTCGATTTACGCATGACCATCTGTCTGTTGAAATCACGATAGAGATTCTATTTGGAACTGGTATCGGTAGTACTCTTAAGATGTTTGGTATTGCAAATGGGATATATCGGTCCATTGTCTGGTATAGCCCCCATTTAACGGTACCCGCAAATTTTCTATATTTTAGGGAATTTTTGGCGCGTTTCCCAACCGAATTGGCTGTAATTTGGTATTTTGGGTTCTCATTGAATAACACATATCCGTACCAAAAATTGTGAATATTGACCGAAGTTTCAGGCTAGCCCCCATATAACGGTACCTCCCAATATTCGGAATTTTGGGGATTTTGAAGACGTTTTCAACCGAATTGCTTGTACTTTGGTATTTTGGGTTCTCATTGAATAAAACACATATCCGTACTAAAAATTATTTATATTGACCTAAATTTCAGGGTATCCTCCATATAACGGTACCTTCCAATATTCGGTGTCATATGGATTTTTGGAGTCGTTTTCCAACCGAAAAGGCTGTAATTTGGTCTTTTGGGCTCTCATTGAATAACACATATCCGCACCAAAAATTATTAATATTAAGCCAAGTTTCAGGGTAGCCCCCATATAACGGTACCTCCCAATATTCGGTATTTTGGAGATTTTGTATACATTTTTCCCACCGAATTGGCTGTAATTTGGTATTTTGGGTTCTCATTGAATAACACATGTCTCTGCGAAAAATTATTAATATTGACCTACGTTTCAGGATAGCCCCCATATAATGGTACCTCCCAATATTCGGTATTTTGAACACGTTTTCCAACCGAATTGGTTATACTCTAATATTTCGGGTTCTCCTTGAATTACACATATCCGTACCAAATATTATTAACAATGACACAAGTTCAGGGTATCCCCCATATAACGGTACCTCCCACTATTCGAAGTCATATGGATTTTCGGACTCGTTTTCCAACCGAATTGGCTGTAATTTGGTATTTTGGGTTTTCATTGAATGACAAATATCCATAGCAAAAATTATTAATATTGACCCAAGTTTCAGGGTAGCCCCCATATAACGGTACCCACCAATATTCGGTATTTTGGGGATTTTGGACACGTTTTCCAACCGAATTGGCTGTAATTTGGTATTTTGGGTTCTCATTGAATGACAAATATCCGTACCAAAAATTATTAATATTAAGCCAAGTTTCAGGGTAGCCCCCATATAACGGTACCTCCCAATATTCGATATTTAGGGGATTTTGAACACGTTTTCCAACCAAATTGGCTGTAATTTGGTATTTTAGATTCTCATTGGTTGTCAAATCTCACTACCAAAAAATATCAATATTGATCTGCCTTTTATTGTGGGGTTAACGTTACCCCACTATTAGATATTTTGAGAATTTCAATCATCTTTGTCTCACGTATTTTACGGTATGTTCATGGTCCTATCATAACATGAGTTTGCTCTTAGGAGCCCCCTATAAATGTCATTCTCATGGTGGAGGGTATAAAAAGTTCGGTCGGGCCGAACTTAACATAGTTTTTACTTGTTTTCCCTTTAAATGCAACAACTGAGATCTATGATTCGAACCGAAATCGGCAAAATATGTTCACTATGTATTTGTATACTAATACCTCTGGAAGGCTTTCTGTTTATTTAAGCTCATACAAATATAGAAAGCCTCAAGTTAGTCAAATTTATAGCAAATTCTACAAGGCTTCCTTTCAATTGAGATCTTTAGGAGATTTTGAAAGTCCCCCAAGAAGACTCATATCAAAAAATCTGGCTACAGGCATGATCTGTGTTGGAAAGGTTTAATTGAAATTTGATTACACAATTACACACATTCATACATACATACATATGCGATTAAAAATATGTACTTTACGAAGGTTAGTTTACAATTAACCCAACATCCGGCTAACGGACCACCAACATAAAAATTTTATTTTTTTTTCCACAATTATGATTAAAATATTAATTATTACAACAACAACAAAAATACGAATTCTCAATAACACCGACTATCTCTTTAAAATCCATAAAAAATACAAATATTTTTTGTTTTTCTATACAAATGTCCATAGAATTTAAATTGTAGATACTTTATTTTCGAAATTCATAAAAAAATATTGTTTTTTTTCCAAACAATGGACATTCACACTGTGTGCCACTCTCACACTACTGCCTGGCCACTTGCCTTGTGGCCGGCCAGGCCTTTAACTTAATTAATAATTCCGCACACATCGAACTGCATTAAATACAATAATACAATGGAAGAGAAGAGAATGAATGAAGAAGTAGAAAAAAAATACAAAAATACAAATTAACAGCAGCAAAGGCAACAACAATAACAACGAGTTGGCTACTAATTTTCAAACTCCAGGCAACATAGACAGACATCCAGCCAGCCAACCAGCCACTTGCCACAAAACAATGTGCAGCCGCCCGCCAAGGAGTCAGTCAGTGGGACGACAAACTAACTAAAAGACCCAAATAATAGGAGAATAATAGAGAATCCATAGCACACAAATAATGGCACACAGAGCAAGTTGTTTTTGTTTTTTTGTGTGAGTTTCGGATTCTTGGAATGAATGGATGCAGTCATATTTGTTCGGAGATGATGATCTTAATATTGGAAGATAGAAGAAACACACATAAAACACATTGACTAAGAAAAACTTTATTGAAACGAACTAATAAAATATGTATTGTGTAATTCTTTGGTGTTATCAGTCGAAAATCAAATCAACCACATAACATTTGTTGTTGTTGTTGTCGCTTAGGAATCCCATGAGCAAACCCATGGCCAGCCAACATGTTTGATGGTGATAAGGAATCATGTAAAAATTCAAAAGAATATGCATCAAACTACTGCATTATTACAACACGGCAAGTGTGATGGCACACACACTGTTTCATTTACCATTTCGTTCCCTCTGTTCTCTTTGTATTTCACTGAGTTGTCTTCAAACATGTTTGATACATAAATAACTGTGGCATTTTTTTATTGTACGCCCTCTCTTAACAGTTTCAATTTTAATTTCTGTCTCACTCTCTGTTTCTCTCTCTCTTTTTGTTCCAGCTGTCATTGGTCCAATTGTCACCCACAGATGTAAACGGCCGCAGCATTCGCCTGGAAATGAAAAAATATTGTCCTTCAATGCAATTGGAATTTTGGTCTTGTATGAATAGAACGTTAGAAGGTAAGTTACTGTGAACTTCATACTGGTATAATAACAAATAACAATAAAGGCTCAAACAGCTGGTTAGGGATGTCGTGGCGGGAATTATTTACAACAATGTTGTAAAATGATGTACATATAAAAAAATTGCGTTATGTCTGACGGACTGGACCCTGACAAACAATATAATCATAACATTTTGAATGGAGTCCAGTGTTGGCTATAAGGCTGGATTTTTGGAAATTGTGGAAAATCCTTTAACAATACCAGTCCGTTATTTTTCTATAAAAAATCGCAAAACCCAATACTGCAAGTTTTCCTCTAGAAAAAGATTCAACGGATCCCAGCCCTCATTCCTATTGAAAACACCTATTCACAGGACCCAAAACCCCATATTATTCTAAAGAAAACAAGTGAAAAACGTTAAGTTCGGTCGAGCCGAACCATAGATATACTGACGGGTACTTGAAATAAAAATATAGGGAACATACCCAAAAGTGTACCTATACAGATATTTCTACAAACCGATTATGTTTCTAAATATTGGTCCTAGACCCCATGTTTCTTTGGACCAAATTTGTTTCAAAAACAAATCATATAACTATTTTCATATAAAAAAGGGGATATATGGGGACGACCCTAAAAAGGGGACGAATATTAAATTTTTTTGGTGGACATTTGTTACCATATACGACTACAAAATACCGAATTGCAGCGAATTCGGTTGAAAAGCGCGCTCAAGAACCCCAAAATACCGAAAATTGGGGGGTACCCTTATATGGGGGAAATTCGAAAAAATTTACCTATATTTACAATTTTTTGTGGAGAAACTACCTATTAAGAACTCAAAACCCCCAATATACTGAAAGTTAGAGGACCTATATTTATAATTTTTTGTGGAGACATTTAGTACGCAATGTACCAAATTTCAGCGTATTCGATTGAACCCCAAAATTCCGATAATTTGGGGGTACTATTATATGGGAGCTATGCCTAAACGTGTACCGATATATCCCATCTTCCAACTTGACCTGCCTGCAGACAAAAGACAAACCTATGCAAAATTTCAGCACCCTATCTGAATTCCTTCAGAAGATACCGTGAATACAACAGACGGAGAGACATGGCTAGATCGTCTTAGAATTTTACCCTGATCAAGAATATATATATATATATACAGTGGCTCCATCGAATAATCGGACAAGTGTTTGTCAGATATAATAATGCTATACATTTCAAAAAAATGTCTAAATGTGTAGTTTTTTTTCGCTTTTAGTTACACATTACTTACTTATATTTCTGAACAATACAAAAAGCAACAACTTTCCTAGTGATAAAAGTAAATTTCGTCAGAAAAACAAAATTAACTCAATTTATTGTGTTCAACGCAAAATCGGACAAAACAAAGTATCAATGTTAAAAGTCCCGTTATTATGCAAATATGGACTTCAAATCTGTATTTTGTTTGTCGTATTCATTTGTAAATTGCATTTAGATCAAGAAAGTGGTAAAACTAAATAAAAATAAATTTAAATGGCTCCAAAAGGGAAAAAATTCAGTGTGGAAATCAGACAATTAATAGATAAATTGAATTATGAAGGTAAAACAGTAAGAGAAATTGCCGTATTGGTTGGAATGAATAAATCTACTGTCCACGACATTATAAAGAGGTTCCGTGATGAGTTCAGATTGACCAATAAAAGCAGAGAAGGTCAATGGAAGATATTGAATGAGCGAGAAGAGCGTTCGATATTAAAAGAAATAAAACAATATCCATTTAAAAGCGCAAAAGAACTTAAAATAAATTTAAAAACTCGCACTTGAAAAGTTGTGTGCCTAAATACTATTCGCAATACATTACATAAATATGATTATTATGGAAGAGTTGCAAGAAAAAAAGCATTTATAAGCCTTAAAAATAAAAACAGTAGAATAAAATATGCCAAGGAGTATTTACTAAAATTAGAAGATTTTTGGAAGCAGGTAATTTGATGATAGATCATCTTAAAATACATTTCTATTGATAGTTTCCATTATATTAAGGATCTGTTTACTGACGAAAGCAAATTTAATTCGCACGGATCAGATGGAAAGATGCATGTGTGGCGTAAGCCAAATGCTGAATTTAATCATAAGAATACAAAAGCCACTGTTAAGCACGGATGAGGTTCTGTTATGTTTTGGGTCTGCATGTCGAGTGCGGGAATATACAATTTGCATTTTATTGATGGTAAAATGGACAAATTTGTCTACCTCAACATTTTAAAACAAAATGTAAATCAAAGTGCAGACAAATTGGGTATCGCGAACAACTTTGCCTTTTATCAAGACAACGATCCCAAGCACACATCAGGTGTTGCAAAGCTTTGGTTGATCCATAACTGTCCCAAACTTATACAAACACCTGCACAGAGCCCAGACCTTAACGTAATTGAGCATCTTTGCGAAGAATTAGCTAGAAGAGTGTATGAAAAAAATGTAACTCCTTGGTACAGCTTAAGGAGGCTTTACTGAAATCGTGGAACTCCATAGAGCCGGAGGTATGCCAGAATTTGGTCAAATCAATACCGAAGCGTTTACAGGCCGTTCTGGACAACAAAGAATATGCAACTAAATATTAATTTCTCGATTTTTTGCATTTTTTGACATTGATACTTTGCATTGTCCGATTTTGCGTTGAGCACAATAAATTGAGTTAATTTTGTTTTTCTGGCGAAATTTACTGTTATCACTAGGAAAGTTGTTGTTTTTTGTATTGTTCAGAAATATAAGTAAGTAATGTGTAAATAAAAGCGAAAAAAACTACATATTTAAACAATTTTTTTGAAATGTATAGCATTATTATATCTGACAACCACTTGTCCGATTATTCGATGGAGCCACTGTATATATATATATATATATATATATGAAATGAATATTTCGATGAGTTACAAACGGAATGACAATATTAATATACCCTCCATACTATTGTGGAGGGTATAACAAATAAGGGACCCCAGTATACAGTAGTAAAGTTGGACGGGACCGACTATATGGTACCCTTTGTCACTTTGGCTATGCAAGAAATGCGTCCAGACAGACCTCTCATTTAACACTACGACCAATAACCGGGTACATTTGCAAATAGTTTATTTAGTTAGTTAGTTTATAATATTCTTGATAAATACATATTCTTGATCAGCGTAAAATTCTATGACATGTCCGTCTGTCTGTTATAATCACTTGAACCTCTAAACAAATTGAGGTAGATTACGAAAATGTTGCATAGAGTTGTCTTTTGTCTGCAGGCAGGTCAAATTCGAAGATGAGCTATATCGGTACACGTTTAGGCATAGCCCCATATAAGGGTACCTCCCCTATTTTCGATATTTTGGGTACCAAATGTCTCCACTACAAATTCTAAATATCGGTCCACTTTTTCTTGTAGCCCCCATATAATTTTCGGAATTTTGGAGTTCTTGAGGGAGCTTTTCAACTGAATTGTACCAAATGAATTCTTATTGGCTACATTAATATACACACATGTCCTCGGTAACCTATGTCAAATTCAATTTCAATAGGTAGATTTAAAGTCGTTCTTTTGCAGTGTGACAGAACTGTGTAAATCCATTTAAATCAAATCTATTATATTACTAGACATATGGTCCCTTTTGAAAATATGCATAGAATTACTTTCTAAGTCGATTTTTGCATGTCCGTCCGTTCGTCTGTCCATGTTAAATGGTAATCAAAGTACAGGTCTCATTTGTGATCCGATTTGGATGATTTTTTGGAACAGGTCACTTTTTTGGCTCAAGGGTGCAACAAAAACCCAATATTTGTCCGATCGAGACAAATGTTTGCACATCTTACTAAATTAGGTCCAGTTTAAGGTCTGTGAAATTTTATGGAAATCGATTTAGATTTTAAAAACGTTCCCAAATACCATTCCGCATGATCAAAGACATAAGACCGCATTTGTTTCATAAAAAATTAAAGGAGCCCAGTACAATTTTGTTTACAGAAAAAAATCACAGGATTTTAGTCCACATCTATTTCTATCGAACGATTTCTCACGTGGTTAAGTTCCGAGGCCAAACTTTGTATAGCCTCCACCATTGTGTACATTAGAAAACGCTATACACAAATTTAGTTTGTATTGGAGTGCAAATATTCAGAATAATCCGAGAGAAAATGCTGCCAAAACCTTTAAACTGATATTGGATGGAAAACAATAAATATAGAGTGTTTAAATTAGGATTGGGTTCTCTGGTGGTGTGTAGGATAGAGTTCTGGAAGAAATAAACAATGATGCCTTTTTCTCAAACGACGAACATGCATTTTCACTAACGATAATTATGTGGCACAACTGACAACTTGACGACATCAGCCACGATTTAGGATCAGTTTGTTCAATTACATTTTTAACTCACTATAAAAGAAGTTAAACCGATGTTAAGTTCGACCAGCGAACTTTCAAAATATGCGAAAAACTCATGTTATGATAGGACCTTGAATATACCGAAAAATACGTGAGAAACATATGATTACCTAGTAGGAGGTAAGCTTTTTATGGGGCTATACCAAAACAGGCTTCAATATTGATAATTTTGGGCAGTGAAATTTAATACCAATGACAATACGAATTACATGTCCAAAATACGGAATATTTGGTCGGGTCGAATATAACGTCTCTGTTACTTCCTAATTTTGTGATTCCGTTTGCAAACCTTGAAATATTTGTCGTAGACAATGTCCATCCGTCTAATAAAATAATGATTGATTACGTAGATTGCTACTACTTCTAAGACATTGGTATTGAAATCAGTTTTGGAAAAGATTCTGGTCACATTTACCAACAAAATCTTTTATAATTTGATTTTTCGGGTTCTCGGATGATAAAAGTCCTCCTCCCAGAAATTTGTCAGTACTCGGTCATGTTTTAGCATTTGAAATTATCCTGGCCATTTAAAATATTTTTAGGTTCCTGTCCCGTTTTCCAACCCAAATATTTTCCTATTCAATATAAGGCTATCGAACGATTTTGAATATTTTGAAGGTTTTGAGCGTATTTTTCCACCGAAGTGGTTATAATTTTAACTCAACTTCATTTTTTCATTGCAACTTCGATCATGTAGCTCATATCGAATAAGAAATTAATAAAAACATTTACATGAATGATCCTTCGCCCTAAAAAGGCATCTGTTGATTGTTTTCCGGCCCCTAAGGGTTCAAAGCCACCTCCTTATCTTCCTTAGGTTGCACAATATATACCATTGAAGAAAAATATTATAGTCTGTATGGAAAAAAAGTCCGTCACTACAACAAAAATCTGCTTTGAAAAGGAATGTTCTGGTGTGATGCCAAATGTCCGAACCTTGACACGGTTGAATTTAATTCGTAGATGCAATTTGGCAACAATATTCGACATAAATACAAATGAGCCGCTTAACCAACGACGAAACGCGTCGCATAATGGTGGGAATGTAGTATCTCTCTGGCTTTCCTTTTCATTGCAACTTCGATCATGTAGCTCATCTCGAAAGAGAAATTAATAAATTTTTATTGTTATTTTTACTTGTTATTAATTATATACAATTCGGTTGGATTATTATGTACAATTCATTTGGATAATCCCATAGGTTATTTTATTTATTGATATAAACTAGACCCATAGCAGATATCTATATAAGAAATCTGGAATACCCCATAAAACAATTCTCTATTTTTATTCCATTTTATTCTTAATTTTAATTCTCATGGCACGCCCAGTATATTTCTAAGCACCTTTCCCGAAACTACACTCCCCACGACACATTGAAATATATTTGTCAAATCCGCTGGAATTTACATGACACTAGAATTAACTAATTTAAAACCTATAATTCCATTCCGCTCAACTCCCACCATTAAAGCCTTCTCAATCAAATTGATACGAACGACGCATTTGTCATGCATCTCTAATCACATACAAACGATTCTCCCATATGCTAATCTTCTCAACAACAACAACAAAAATAATAAAATAAAACAAAAAACAGAAAATACAAATAAAACAATAGTAATAATAACAGCAACAACAACTATAACAAAGTATTGGTGGCGGGAAAAATACGCCCACTTTGCAACACTTGTTTGATTGGTGTTTGCCAATCCGATTTAGCGTCCTCAACAATTATTGCCAATATTACTACGGCAGACCTCCACCCGCCCAGTACAGCGAATACACGCACACACACACACTCACCACATAATGAAGATTTAAATAATACGAAGACCGCAATAGCAACAACAACAAAGTTATGACCGACGGATAAATCTAATTGACTTCTGATTTATTTGTTGTTGCTGTGATGTGTGGCACTTGAGCAAAATTGTAAAGAAAATATTAGCAACAACAACGACAACGTAGAAATAATAAATAGTAGCTTAATTAGTCATATGGCAGAGTTGCCACATTGATGAAAATAATAAATTGTATCTAATTATTCATATTTGCCTTTTTCTAGCTGTCGCCCGTGGTTCCCAATGGTCGGGACGTCGTTGCTGTGCCTTGGGTGTCTCACCACGTTGCAGTAATGCCTGTGCCACAATGTCATCGACGGGTGAGCTAATCAATGCCTGCCGCCAAAGTGATGAACAGCATATGTTCGCCTGTTTCGAACGCCAAGAGGCTGGTGATCGCTGCTGTGGAAATGCCAAAACTTCAGAGTGTCTGCAGGTGAGTGAGGGGAATAAGGAGAATTATTTTATCAAGGATGATCAATCCGCTCGTAACTCATCGAAATATTCATTTCCGACCCTTGTTCGGGGTAAAATTCTAAAACCGTCTGTCATGTAATCATGCCATCTTCCGAAGGAATTGAGATAGGCTCCTGAAATACGAGGGCAGTTCGGAAAATTTTGTGCTAGGCTAAGAACTTTCCGAACTGCCCTCATATAATATAGAACTGTATTTAGTCAAAAGTCGGAATAACTTCGAAGATTGGACATATCGGCCAACGTTTAGGCATGGTTGTTTTTTTGTGCATATGTTTGTAACAGTCAAAAATAATCGAGATAGACCCATGGTTCCTTTTGAGAATATGCATAGAATCAACTTCTGAGTCGATTTATGCATGTCCGTCTGTCCGTCCATGTATTTTTGTGAACAAAGTACAGGTCCCATTTATCATCCGATTTGGATGAAATTTGGCACATGTCCCTTATTTGGCCCAAGGACGAACCCTATTGAAATCGGTTCAGATTTAGATATAGCTCCCATATATAGTTTCGTCCGATTTAATGTAAATGGTCCCTATATATCTTTCAATTTGCACGAAATTTGGTATAGCCTACTGAATTAGGTTTAGAATGATGTGTGCTAAGTTTCGTAAAAATCGGTTCAGAATTAGATATAGGTCCCATATATAGTTTCGCCCGATTTTAGGTAAATGGTGCACCAAAGTCCCTGAACATCATTTGATTTGCACGAATTTTGGCATAGCGTATTGAATTAAATATAGAATGACGTGTGCTAAGTTTCGTGAAAATCGGTTCAGAATTAGATATAGCTCCCATATATAGTTTCGCCCGATTTAAGGTAAATGGTGTACCAAAGTCCCTATATATCTTTCGATTTGCACGAAATTTGGCATAGCCCACTGATTTGCGTCTATAATGATGTGTGCAAAGTTTCGTGAAAATCGGTTCAAATTTAGATATAGCTCCCACTTATAGCTTCGCCCGATTTTCATTTGCACGAGTTTTGGCATAGCGTACTGAATTAAATCTAGAATGACGTGTGCTAAGTTTCGTGAAAATCGGTTCAGATTTAGATAAGGCTCCCATATATATTTTCGTCCGATTTTTTGTAATTGATGCACCAAAGTCCCTATATATATTTCGATTTGCACGAATTTTGGTATAGGGTACTGAATTAAGTCTAGGATGATGTTGCAATGCTTCGTGAAAAGATCCATAGCTAGACCGATTGACACAACGTACTGATGTAATATAAATTAGTCTCTTGCAAGTTTCTCTGAAATCGGTTCAGATATAGATATATAACAAAAACGGGTCGTCTGTTAGGATACATATGTAGAATATACCCAAAATGGTGAAGGGTATCATATAGTCGGCCCAGTCCGACTTTACTACTTTCCTTACTGGTTTTATTTCGCAATGGGCGGCAAATAACCTTAACAAAAGTTATTAACATCGAATGGCTTTTAGATCCCTATCTATCCCTTTAAAACCTTGCCCTCCGATTTTCGGTATTTTTAGAATTTTGTCCACTTTGTCTAATCAAATTTTTCTGTTATTTGATATTTGGGTTTCTAATAGAGTAGAAAATCTTCAAACCAAAATTTATTAATATCGGACCACTTTTAGATATAACCCTCATATCGGGGTGCCCTCCGATTTCGGTATTTTAAGGATTTTTTGACACGTTTTTCAATCGAATTGGCTGTAATTTGATATTGTGTGTTCTCATTGGATAGCAAATCTCATTACCCAAAAATTATAAATTTTGCTCCACTTTTAGATATAACCCTCACATAACGGTACTCACAATTTTTGGTATCTTGAGAATTTAGGATACGTTTTACAACCGAGTGGGCTGTAATTTGTTATTATAGGTTCTTATGAGTTATCCTACCAAAAATTATCAATATCGGTTCACTTTTATGTGCAGACCGTACATTCCGATTTCGATGTTTGGATTATTTAGGCACATTTTTCTAACCAAATCGTCAGAAATTTTATATATTGGTTTATCATTGGGTTGTTAAAATTCCTACCAAAAATCATATCAATATTTGACAATTTTTAGGTATAGCCCCCATAAATGATACCCTCCGAAATTCGATATGTTGAGGATTTTGGGTACATTCTTCTTCTTCAAATCAATTGACTCTAGTTCGATATTTTAAGTTCTCAAAAGGTGAAAAATCTTCTTACAAAAAGTTATCAATATCGGATTACAGTTAGGTATAACCTTCATATAGCGATATCCTCCGATTTTCGATATTTGGGTATTTTGGGCACGTTTTTCAACCAAAATGACAGTAATTTGATATTTTTGGTTTCTCATTAGGTGGGAAATCGTCATATCAATATCGGACTATTTTTAGGTATAACCTCCATATACCGATACCCTCCGATTTTCAATATGTTGAGGATATTGGACACGTTTTTTAACCGAATTGGTTGTAACTTGATATTTGAGGTTCTAATTAGGCCTTAGTCCTTCCTGCCAAACATTATCAATATCCATCCACTTTTTGGTATAGCCTCCATACAAAGGTACCCTCCGATTTTCTGTATTTAGTGAGTTCGGAACACGTTTTTTAATGGAGTTGGCTGTAATTTGGTATTTAGGGTTCTCATAATATTCCTCCAACAAATTATCAATATCGGATCACTTTTAGTCATATCCCCCATTTAACGATACCCTCCGATTTTCGATATTTGGAGGGTTTTTGATACGATTTTCAACCAAATTGTTTATAATTTAATATTTTGGGTTCACATTAGGTGCAAAATCTTCTTACCAAAAATGATTAATGTGCCACAATTTGGTATAGCCCCTATTAACGGTACCTTTCGATATGGCGGTACCGTCCGATCTTCGATATTTTGAGAATTTTGAATCTTTCGATATCTTCAGGAGTTGCCCTCCGATTTTCGATATCTTGAGGTTTTTGAACACGTTTTACAACCGAATTTGCTCTCATTCGGTATGCTGAGTTACCATTAGGTAGAAAATTGTCCTACCAAAAATTACCAACATCAGACCTCATTTTGGCATAGTCCCCATATAAAGGTTCCCTCCGATTTTTGATATCTTGAGGTTTTTGAACACGTTTTACAACCGAATTTGCTCTAGTTTCGTATGCTGAGTTATCCACGCCTATGGGCCAGCCTTTCCTTTACAAATTTTCGTTAAAAAAATCCACGCCTATGGGCCAGCCTTTCCTTTACAAATTTTCGTTAAAAAAATCCACGCCTATGGGCCAGCCTTTCCTTTACAAATTTTCGTTAAAAAAATCCACGCCTATGGGCCAGCCTTTCCTTTCTTTAAAAAAATCCACGCCTATGGGCAAAAATTTTCGTTAAAAAAATCCACGCCTATGGGCCAGCCTTTCCTTTACAAATTTTCGTTAAAAAAATCCACGCCTATGGGCCAGCCTTTCCTTTACAAATTTTCGTTAAAAAAAATCCACGCCTATGGGCCAGCCTTTCCTTTACAAATTTTCGTTAAAAAATCCTCGCCTATACACTTTCCTAAAAAATCCTTAAAAAAATCCACGGACCTGCCTTTCCTTTATAAATTTTCCCACGCCTATAAAAATTTTCTATGCCTATGGGCCAGCCTTTCCTTTACAACTTTTCGTTAAAAAATCCACGCCTATGGGTCTGCCTTTCCTTTACAAATTTTCGTTAAAAAAATCCACGCCTATGGGCCTGCCTTTACTTTAAAACTTTTCGTTAAAAAAATCGCGCCTATGGACCTGCCTTTCCTTTATAAATTTTCTTTAAAAAATCCACGTCTATGGACATGCCTTTCTTTTATACACTTTCCTAAAAAATCCTGGACCTGCCTTTCCTTTATAAATTTTCCTTAAAAATTCTATGCCTATGCCCCTGCCCTTCCTTTATAAATTTTCCTTACAAAATTACGACTAAGCACCTGATTAAAATTTTGTAAAAAATCCACGCCTAAGGACCTGGATAGCCCCTAAGAAATTGTCCTTAAAAATCCGCCTGTGTACAAGGTTAGTCCTTTATATATTTTTCTTAAAAAAACATGTATGGACCAGGCTAGATCATTAGATATATACACTTCTATAGGCTTACTTGAATATGTCTGAAGGTCTTATGTAAAACTGAAATAGTTCCGACTGGTTTCTAACTAATTCCCACCCTTATTTATCTTTTCAGGCCTGTCGCGAAATATTCGAGCCTCATCCTTCACACAAACGCAACAACCGAAGACATCTACACGAAATGTGTGGTGAGAAAAATGCCGATGTTATACAGTGTGTTAAAAATGTCACAGATATGTCACCCGTCACAAATTCGCACAAATGTAAGTCGCAACGACCAGAACCCTAAACCATAAATTTCTTAACACAACCTCCATTCCTCCCCTTTCCTTTTCAGATTTACCCTGCTGTGATTTTTCGGATAATGAAAATTGTCGCAATACCTGCCGTTCGGTGCTGAATACCACCGAAAGTACCGATATTATTATCGGAGAACTTGAGGCAGGAGGATGTGGAACGGTGCTACCCCATTTACCTCTGTGGCAATGTTTCTTCACGGCGGAAAGGAAAATGTTTGTACCGGCTGTCAGCGTGAACAATCATGAAACTGAAGTATCACAAATAAATCGTTTGGGTATAGATGGCGCCAAGCTGCATTGCTGCGAAAAGGCCCTCTCCGCCAAATGTCGACGCCTGTGTTTACAAACTTTCACCACAGATTGGACCAATTCGATGAACAATTTCGAAGAGGCCTGCCTAATGCAACCCAATGAATTGGAATTGCGCCAGTGTATCGATGAGGTGGACGAACCCTGTGAATTGGGTTGTGATGGCCTGAGCTTCTGCACCAATTTCAATAATCGTCCAACGGAACTATTTCGCAGTTGTACCGTTGAGGCTGATATGGCAGCCAAATCGGATTTATTAATGTGGCAGCAGAGGGGTTATGTCAGCTTACCCGGTGTCAATTTACCCATTAAAAATATGACTCGATGTTCGCCGGAAAAATGGAAGGCCATAGCCTGCATCCTCCAAACGAAGCCCTGCTCCCGACAGGGTCATTACAATCACATTTGTCGTGAGAATTGTTATGAAATCTTAAGTGAATGTATGGATTGGACTCGCATGAATACCTCCCTGAATGCAGATGCCATTTGTGCTCGCCTACATCCCGAGGGTGAGGGTGTGCCTTGTATTTCTCTGCGTCCCTATTTGGAGGAGAGTGATGCCCCCAAAGAAACTGGTGGTCATCATCGTATAACATCCCCGTGCAAAGGGCATCCCTGTAACGCCAGTGAAGTATGTTTGGCGGCGCGTAATGGTTCTTCACTATACGAATGTATACCCGGTTGTGCCCTCGGCGAGACATCAAATTATTTAGTGCCCTTTGGTGCCTACGTTCGTATACCCGTCCAATTGACAGCAAATCGTGGTGGTTTTAAGGTTTGCCGTTGTGGCCAACAGGGTCGTATTGAACATTGCCAACCTCTGCCCAGTGTTTCGTTTGAAAGTTGTGTTCTACCCGGTGGAAGGAAAATTAAACATGGCACATCATTCTATTTGGAATGTAATTTATGCACCTGCTATGCGGAGGAGATCACCTGCACCAAGAAACAATGTAAAATGCCGGGTAAGTAAGAGGAGGGAAATTTGGGGAGTTAATATTATTTTGGGGAATTTTGAATCATATGGAATAAGAGACAAAGCAGGGACTGCAATTGAAAGGTCGCAAAAATATATTGAACGATGGGCTGTGGCAAAAGAGGCTGTAGTAAATTTCATTTTAAAGAAGGGGGCCTCGAAGTAACACTGAATGTGAATATAAATGGTATTTAACTAGCGAATAAATTACTTCCGAGTGACCAATATGTGGAAAAATGTTTGAAAACTTATTCGTGACCTTCACCCTCTGCGTGAACCATCAGCTGGTTCGCTTTTATGTGCCTTTTGGGCTGGGACATTTTCATCCATTCTCACCTAGCCAATGTAGTCGCTGCAGCTCTATACGTCCAACAATGCCGATGTCCGAGAATAGCTCATGTTTCATTCGACGGCGATATTCCCCGTCAAGGCAGATCGGCCAATAGATCATTCGGATAAGTTTTCTCTCTGACATTCCAAGAGCTGCTCATCTGCTTCCATAAGCACCCATGCTTCATGCCTTGTAGAGTGTGAGTTTGGTCAGGCGGGATGTGGCCTTGCTTTTGAGTTGCTTACTCAGACCGTAGTAGCATCTGTTGGCCAACACTATCCTTCTCCGAATTTCAAAACTGATGTCATTAGTTTCATTTATGGCGGCACCAAGGTATATAAAATCTTTGACTACCTCGAAGCTGTAGTTCTCAAGTTCCATAGTTGATCCGAGTCTACTGATGATGATGTATGCTTCTTACCATCCATCTGACCACCAGTCTTGAATAGTTCGGCTTATTACCCATCGGCACCTGCTGTTTTATTATTCTTCAGCTGATTGATTGCTATTCTGACCTCATCTTGGCTGGGTGGTATAAACTCTATACCGTCATCGATTATTGGTTCTGGGGTATCCTCTTCACCGCCACTATTTGATACCAGAAGTTTTTCAATATGCTCCTTCCAGATCCTCAGCACCCTGTCTGTATCTGTCACCAGGTTTCCTTCTTTATCTCTACAGGAGGATGTGCCTGCACCAAAGACTTCGGTTTTGTGTTTTACTCGTTGGTAAAATTTCCGGACTTCATTCTGACTCCTGTACATCTCGATTTGCACACGCTTACTTTTTTCTTGCTTTTTCTTCTTTTTTCTGAAAATACGTTTCTCCTCTCTCCTTTTCTCCCGATAATTATCCATCGCATCGCGTGATGCTACCGTCTGCAGGGTTGCTCTATACGCTGCGGTTTTCATATCAGTATCATTAAGACACTCCTGATCGTACCACGGATTTATTGATGGTGGTCTTTTTTACAAGAACTTCAAATGCTAAATTCTAAATTGACCTTGAGGTGACGTTCGATCAGCAGCCAATGGCACGTCCAAAGTCATCAGTTTTGTCAATAATCGCTTCTCTCTGGTCATCTGGAACCATCTGTCAATTCGTCTCTTGGTCTTGGTCGTCTTCCTAATTTTCCAAATAGAGAAAATTGGAAGATAGCGACCTATGAGAGGCCATCTTAAACTGGATCTATATGGTTTATGAAAGAACTTCAAAAGGTAAATTCGATTAGAAAATCGTCCAAGAGGAAGATGTTTTTGAGATGGCGGTAGAGCAACAGTGAAAAAACTATCTCTGATGCGCCCATTATAATCAGCCTTTTCAATAACTCCTATTCTCTAGTCAGCCGTAAGCATCTGTCAATTTGTCTCTTGGGAGTGAATGTTCCGAATGGGGTAGTTGTAGTGTCCTGCAAAGCCTTACCACTTGATCTGGCATTCATCTTCCCAGTTTCCTTCTTTGCCGATGTGGAAGCATACCGGACCGAAATTTGAACTGTTTGCATCAACAGCGCCCTATTTGCGTAATTGATTTTTGAGATGGCGGTAGAGCAACAATGAAAAAACTATCTCTGATGCGCCCATTATAATCAGCCTTTTCAATAACTCCTATTCTCTAGTCAGCCGTAAGCATCTGTCAATTTGTCTCTTGGGAGTGAATGTTCCGAATGGGGTAGTTGTAGTGTCCTGTAAAGCCTTACCACTTGATCTGGCATTCATCATCCCAGTTTCCTTCTTTGCCGATGTGGAAGCATACCGGACCGAAATTTGAACTGTTTGCATCAACAGCGCCCTATTTGCGTAATTGATATCTTTCTGTCGATCTCATTCTCTTGTTAGCCACAGGATGGGAGAGAGATTTGATTTCATTAGGAACAGCAACTACTTTAATCGCTACAGGTACCCTTCCTACTTTCTTGCTCGTACTTGTCATGGGTTTTGCTGTGCTTATCCTTAGTCTCTTTCTTACTTCCTCACTACCCTAAGGTGTTTCCTTATTCGTTGGAATTCCTTCTCGGTTATTGAGCTGGGGATTTTGTCGACATAGCATTGGCTGATTGCCCTTTGGTATGCCTTCCTGTGCGAAAACCATTGAAGCACTATATTGGTTTTCTCTGAAGCCACTTAATCCGAATTTCACCTTCCCATTTTCCATTTTTGCCGCTGCTGATGTATACGAGACCGAAGGTTGAACTTTCCACAGCAACGACGGCTCTCAGGCGTTTATTGATATTTTGTTGATCGGGAATATTCTGTATTTGGCTTCGAAGACTCCTGTGAAGCCATGCCACATGGACGAAGTATAGGAGACCGAATGTAGCACTGTCTGCAGCAAAAACTGATTCTTCGCAGCAGTTTGTTGTTTTTCAATCGATCTAACCCTCTTGCTTCCATGGGTTGTGAGGAGGATTTAAATTTTTTACCAACAGCTAACACTGGAGTCGCTTCCTGGCTTCCTTCTCGTACTTGTTATGGGATTTAACGCAATACAATGGTTATCCTTAATGGTAGAGGTCTTGGCAGAGGTAATCACTGTACGTTAGTGGAGAATTCTGTCATAAGAAGTTCCCTTGAGGCCTTGTTCGGATAGTCTCATTCATACTTCCATAATATTTTAAAGGGTTTTCTTATTCGTAGGAAATTATTTTCGGGTCTAGAAGTGGGGTCGATATTGAATTTGTCATTGGGTTTGCTGCGTTATTAGTCGCCATCTCGGTAGAGGTCTAATAGGGGTAATCACTGTACTCGAGGTGAGAATACTGTCCTTTGAGACATTATTCGAATAGTCTCTTTCGCCTTGGTGGAGGTCTCGATTGCAATACGCTAATGTACGCGAGGTGTGAATTCTGTCGACTTGGATTTCCCTTGAGGCCTTATTCTGATTGTCTCTTTGGTACTCCCTCACTACTTATGGTGCTTCCTTATTCGTAAGAAACGCCTTTTCGGTTCTCTAAATAGCAGATTTTCCTTCGATGCAAAAGATCTATGACGCTCGGCCATTTCCACACAGAACTTCTGTCGGAAACTGTTTATTTATTCGCAGTTACCCAACAAGTGTACTAGGCATACCACTAGACCACCTGTGGACGCGATCGATAGCAATCCTAATAACAACGCAGCAACACTGTTGGGCGCCATTGTGATTATATCCGCTACGGTGGATATGGGGTCATTTGCAGCAAGGTCTCTGAGCGTGGCTTTGTAAAATTTGGCCAAATTCTAAGTGGTCTGAAGTATTTTTTTTCTAAAAAAGGGGTTCTCATTGACCTGAGTTTTTATTACAAAGCCATGCTCACCGACCTGCTGGAAAAATTCACTGTTAATTTTTTTTTCTATAGAAAAAAACCGTTGTAGTTTGAGGAACCTTTTTTTTTTGTCAGCTCTGTAAGCGTGGCTTTTTAAAAAAACAATTTCCAATTGATCCCATATCCACCGCAGCGGATATAATTACAATGGCGCCCAACAATATTTCTAGTTGATTGCTATCGATCGCGTCTACTATAGAAAAAAAATCTCAATAAATTTGGCCAGAAGGTCAGGGAGCGATGATTTGTAAGAGGAACATAGATGACTTGGTTATATGTCCATGTTTCCATTCCTCAGGCCTCCCGAGTACTCTTTTTACTATAGAAAAAATCCTCAAAGCAGCTGATGAATTGGTCTTATGTTCGTGTTTTTAAAGCATTAATATTTTTATAATTTTTTTTTATCTACTCCATTAGCCCTGTTGATCCTTTATTAATTGATTTTATGATTTTTTATAGGTTACACGGATGTCTCCTATACCAGTTTACCCTGCAACTGTCCCACACACTATGTTCCGGTGTGTGGCATCAATGGTCGCACTTATCCCTCTTTGTGTATTGCACGTTGTTTGGGTCTACAGGATAGTGATTTAGATTTCGGTGCCTGTTCCGTATGGAATCCATGTGCTCCCGGTGCATATCATTGTCCGGCTGGCACGCAATGTGTCGAGCATAGGCAAATTTGTTTATCCTCCATGCATAGGCCATGTTTACAGTACAAATGTGGTAAGTATTTGGAATTCGAATCGATGTGATATGATTTTATTAATTTTTATTTTCTTCCTTTCCAGTTAACCAAACGCTGCCATGTGAAGACACCGACCAACCCGTTTGCGATACCAAGGGTATGACCTACAAATCTGCCTGTGATCTTGTGAATACCAAATCAACGTTTGCCCATTGGGGTCCATGTAATCGTGGCTGTTCTTGGAAGGGCCCTGTGTGCGGTATCAACGGCGTTAATTATCCCAGTGAATGTGCTGCCTGGTCCGATTATGTTCTCGTCGATTATAAGGGACGTTGTCGTGAAGTCGGTCTACTGAGTCATGATTTGGAAAGGAAACGTTGTCGTCAAGTTAAATGTCCCGATTTACCATCCCCCTACTGTCAAGCCATAACGCCACCGGGAGCCTGTTGTCCCCTATGTGCATCAGCATTTCGTATTATCTATTCTCGGAAACAAATCGATCGAGCTCTCTATGCCCTCCGAGGGCAACACAAAGATTTGCTGACTTTACGTAGTGTCCTGCATGAACTCGATAGCCTTATACAGGTTACTGAATGTCAGCTAACGGGTTTCCTCACCATGGAAGTGGGAATATTTGTGGCGATTGTACCAAGGGCATCAACACCCAATCGCATGCAAATTGAAGCCTGTATACGCGAAGCGGAAAAGCTATCGTCGCTGATAACTGCACAGTCGCATAAAATTACCACAAATTTAATATTATCCGGTTTGACCATGTCCAATATGTTAGATCCCAGCATTGAAAATTCCGCAATACCCTGTTGGAAGAGCTGTAGTTCACAGCTTTTGGTGTTGATGGTAGTGGTAACGATATTAGCGGGTTTCTGGAGTAACAAATATATTTCGTAGTCTTAAGAAGAAGAAGAAGAAGTGCCACTGAATGACAAATATGTGCAAAGCTCAAATGGTTTCGAATATTGTAGCATTTCGATTTTTTAGTTCGTTCGTTAGTTATTTATTTTATCGGAAAACAAAGTAGAGATTAGGATTTTTTAATTACGAGAACCTCAAGTGTATATTTCTTGTTTTTTAGGTTAGAAGGAGGATGTGTTGTTATTAGATTTGTTTTAATTTAAGATTTAAACTAAATATTATACATTCTCAAAAAATCTCTTCGGAACCCTTCCGTGACTTATCGAACATCCCTTGTAGTTTGTAAAACCACTCCAATCAGGAATCATCAATCCCTTCAAATGGAATGCCGAAAAATTTCTGTCCCGTTGAGTGCAAAATGGATAATTTGTAGCATTACATTGTAAAAAGTCCCCTATATGCAAGTATATTCTCCAGAGAGCACCTAGACACGCCTTACCTACCTTTGAATGACCTCCTTGCAGTCCTGATTAATTAGAGATTCCAGAATGAACTCTCACCATGCAGGTCCTGATGAATTAGAGATTCCGGACTACATCTAGCCTGTCGTCAGTAGACTTCTTTTAGTTTTCTTATCTAGTGAGTGAACTGGAGTCACCTACGTAGGAACTCTTTCAAACAAGAAGTCTCTCACAGCACTTTTCGGCAATGTCCTCGTAAATGCACATGAGATTCTTTGTTATTTGAAAGAATTGCTTGTCCGTCATTGTCATTTCTGACCTGCTCGATGAATCGGTTGCAGGTATTTTTTGCTCTCCGGTAGATGTTCTTGTCGAATACTTTCTTGGCATTGACACATCTGGTTGTTATGTCCGCCGATGTATCATCCGTTATTTGGTATACAAGGCATACCATGTCCACCTTTGGACACGATCGATCAGCTAGGCTTCCAGTAGACGAATATAATCCTACATCAACGCATCAATATTATTGGGCGCCATTGTAATTATACCCGCTAAGATGGATGTAGGATCCCTGGCATTTTTTTTTTTACAAAACCACGCTCATAGACCTACTGACAAAATCCACTGAGGATTTTTTCTATAGAAAAAAGAATCCCCAAAACTCTGAGGAACTTTTTCCCAGAGAGAAAAAAGAGTCTTCATTAATCTGAGGATTTTTATATCTAGCATAGGCTTTCCGCTTATCGCCATGGAGTTTTGGTTTCCATCTTCGCCCAGATTGTTGTTCTCTCCTAACTTCATTCTCTTGGTTTTGTGACATTCGCCAGCATTTCGGTTGAATCCATGGCTTCTTGCTCATACATCAAGGTCGGAGGACGTCAGATATAGGTGGAAATACCCTCTTGGGTTTCATTTTCCTCAATTAAATTGAGGAGAAGTTCCGTCTGTCTCTCTAGGCTTGTGTAATTTCATTGAGGATTGGAAGCTCCTGTAAACAAGTATCCGAACTGTAGGCTTATTTTTATACATCTACCAGAGCTTTAGGTCAATGCCTATTTTTAATGTCATCTTGGGAGATCAGCTAGATGTCAGCTGCTTCTCAAGTTTGCTGTAAAAATCAATATTGTGAACTGATTTCAATCGATAGGGAGTTATTCTTTTGTGTATTCCTTTTAAGGCTAGGTCCATAGAGTCAAATGTTTGTGAGTATTAGAGGTCGACCATGGTAAGGAGCATAGCCTGAAAAACTTGGTATCAAAAAGATTCCGTTCCAATGGGCATGAGATCGCCTAACCACCTAACATTGGGTGGGAGGTGACCATAGACCTTAAAAATTTATTATTTAGGAGTGACAATTTCGCCTTAAAGATGTTGTGTGGCCCTCGGTCATTTCCTCTGAAACTGACTTTCAAGGCACGCTGACTGTTTATTAACTTCACAGCTGCCCAATCAATTTAATGGGGGTTCCACTATTTACAACCGAGGTCGCCTAAAACTCCAGCGACAAATTGATTATTTCGGGTATACAAATATCGGCCCGGCGACAATCTTGAGGTCTAGACACTCCGTCATTTCCTCTGAGACTCTCCTTCAAAATACCAGAGCCAAGATCTATTAACCAGAGCCTTATACTAAGACCTACTAAATAAGGTCATCCAGGGAGACCAGCTGGAAATCAGCTGCCTCTCCCGTTTGCTGTCAAATTCCTTTATTGTGAATTGACTTCCATTATCAAAATGTAAACAAAGCATCTACCAGATCCATTAGTCTTGAGAAAAAAAAACCAGCTGATTTTTGCTTGATCGGTGACCTTTCTCATAGAGCTTGGTTTTAGCTTAGGTTTTTGAATGAGATTTTAAAAGCAACTATCAGAGAAATGTTTATTAATAAGGTCATCCTGGGAGGCCAGTTGGAAATCAGCTGCCTCTCACGTTTGCTGTCAAAATCTATTATTTTTTACATTAGACTTCAGAAAAAACAGCTGACTTTCTCCTTGCTGTGTAACCTTATTAATAGATCCCTGTAAATAACTATCTAAGCTCTGGGTGCGGATTTTTAAAGGAAATTTTATCGTCAGTTATCAGAATTCTAGGAGTGGATTTTTATGGAAAATTGATAGCCGACATCCGTGCTCTAGGCTTGCATTTATTTTAGGACCCTTTGCAAACAATTATTCAAGCTCTAGTCGTATTTTTAAATATCCAGTTAGAACAGTAGGCCTATTCTGTAACTTTTAACAACATTCGATATTGTTTAAAATTCTTTTGTTATTGTAAAAACAATAAAACAAACAAATGAAATTGTTGTAAAATAAACAATATCGAATGTTGTTAAAAAGTTACCGAATAGGCCTACAGCTGGATATCACCTGTTTCACAAGTTTGCTGTCAAAATCCATTATTGTGAATTGATTTTCATTATGAAAACGTAAACAAAGTCCATATTTTTGACATTAGACTTGAGAAAAAGCAGCTGACCCGGTGACCTTCTTAATAGATTTGGAAAACAACTCTCGGAGCATTTTTATAAATAACCGTCAGTGCTCTAGGCTTAGATTTTTTTCCAGATTTTATAAACCGTTATATAAGCTCTCGGTGTGATAGTTCATTTTATATACAAATATCCCAGTTCTACGCTTGGATTTTTAAGGTATTTTTTCATCATATATCCGAGCTGTATGCCTGCACTTTTAAGGAAATTTTATATACAAACATCTTATCTATAGGCTTGGATTTTTAAATAATTTTATAAAATACTGAGGATGGTTATCCGACGTAGATTTTTAATTGTTATAAGCCGCTAAGTACAATTTAAAGAACTATCAGAGGTCTAGGCGTGAATTTGAAGGAAATTTGTATAAACAAATATTACAGGTCTTTGCGAGGATTTTTTAGATTTTAGGTGTAGATTTTTAAAGGAGTTTTTTTCTTTCTTTGTCGTAGAACAATTTCTATATACCCAAAGCCTGATTAAAAAAGCGGTAGCTGATATTTTGGTATGGTTCCTTCTAAAATTCCTACCACATTCATATCTCTCCTTCAAAAATACAAATTTATTTTATTTCTATTTCTTTTCCATTAATAATAAAAATTGTACATTTATTTTTATGAATTCCTTCTTTTAAATATTCGAATTTATCTTATTTCGTTTTAGTTCTAAATTTTTATTAATAATGTAATTTTTTCGTATGCATTTTTTCTCTCAAATACCTAATTTTCATTTTCTTTTTTTTCTATTTTTAAATTATTATAGAATAAAAATTGTAAATTTTGTTCTTTATCAAGTGTGTGTGAATTCTTGGTGCCAATATAGTTTTTAAAAAAAATTATAGTTTATTTTTTATATATAAAAATAAGAAGATAATTTTCTTATTATTACAAAAATAAAATTATAATCTGTTTTCTTACTAATTGGAATTAACAAAATTTAAAAGAAAAAAATAATATAAAACAAAGTGCCTTTCTTCGTTTTAATTATAATTATTTCTTTTTTATTTTATGATAAAAATTAACTAAATAATATTACACAAATTACAATTAAGTTTTGTTTGTGCGTTAGTTCTTTTGTCCATTAATATCATTATATATTATTTAAGTTTAATTGATCTCCTTGTGATATTAGATATTAAAAAGAAAATAACAACAACAAGAACAAATCAACAAGTTTTTTAATAATAAAAAAAAGTTGGCCATATTTATATATGATATATAATTATCATAAAATATTAGAAACAAACATTATAATTATTAAAAATAAATAAATAAAATAAATGAAAATTTTCAAAATATATTAAAAATAAATAAAATAAACAAAATGAAATCAAACTAAAACATATCTTGCATAGTTATACACTAAAGATTTATTATATTATTATTAATAATATTACTATATTAAATATAAGTAAAATAGTTCTTTTATTATTAATAAAAACAAAACCACATAAAATTATTATTAATTATTTTGTAAATATTATCATATAAATATATATACAAACAAACAATACACACAAAATGCCTTCTTTGTTCATATTTTTTCTTTTATTATAACAAACAAATTACCAAAGTTGTTTAATTATTTATCCCAGAATTTATCCCAAAAAAATATGCATATGTATTAAGAGGAAAACAAACAAAAAGAATAATACTCAAAATAATAGTCATTAAGAAGTACCTTTTTTGTATAAAAAAAAATATTATTATTATATATAAATAAATAATAAAATCAACAATTATTAAAACGAAAATGTTTAATAAATTATAATATGATTTAATTAAATGGTTTTTTGGGTTTTAATTATTCAGAGGTGAGAACCATGGCACAATAAATAGGTAGTCCATTTAGCGCAGCTGAGGTCTCAAAGTGCGTAATTTCTACTTGAATTCGATGTGCAATGTTGCCAATCATGTGAAATATTAGGTTCGTTCGTTTACTTTCCCAGTAATATTTACTCAGTAAGAATTTGCAGAGAGTAAATACGAATTTTTCCTTTTCAAGAGAGAAAACTGCAAAAAGTAAACGAACAACATCCAGTAAAAAGATTGTTTCGACACAGCTGATTAAAACAAAAAACAA